AAATATTCTGTGTCACCAGGAATGTCTTTGTGCTAAAATTATTTTAGTTGCAAGATTCCTGTAGAAAAAGAAAGGCGTGTCGTGCCCAACCACACAGCTGGCAGAAAGGGACCATGCTGGAAGCTACCTGCCAAGCCCATGGTAAGCATTTGGAGGCATTGCCAGCTGGGAACTTCCACCTTGCCCGTGGCCATGAGCAGTCTAAACCTCTCCAGATGGAGACAGGGCACAAGGAAGAACAGAGTCTGCCCTCACCTGCAGCTTTGTTTCTTCTCTAGCAAAAATCTGGAGTCTTTTATAGTGGTTACCATGGCTAATTCACCGAGGCCTTCCATTTTCACTCTGGTCTCTAGTACTACCAAAGTTTTTTTTTGTGTTACAGCAGCACTGAGAAATGCTCGCTTGCCCCAGTCAGGGCACCAAGCACAGTGCAATCACGTAGTAAGAGACAGACTGTGTCCCAAAGAGCTCCACACAAAGAATGGCGAGGATTGGTACTTTACAGTGCAAAGCAAGGAAGGGAGATCTGATGAGACTGTAAAATCAACAAGGGAGGAGGTAGTCCCACCACTTATTTGCATGTACTTCTCTGAACCTGCTAAGTAAGAAGCTAGTCTCCATCTGGAGTCAAGGAAGAGTTACCTTCAAAAGGCAATTCAGACCATTTAAGTTGGGATCCTGCTCCAAATCGCCTTCTGAAGCTATGGATGAGTATGCCTCCAAAGATGGCAGCTGGAGTCCAAAGACGCAAGTTGGTTTATCCAGGTAAGTCTTAACCGAGTCTTTGGTCATTGTTTGAACCACAGCTCGCTCTTCTTTCTTGCCAGAAATAAAAGTGGTAAGCCAAGGAGCTCCTCTGTAAATGGAATATAACCAACGGTCTGTTACCTTGTTCCAGTGCCCCAGGTGGCTTTCAGCAGAGGTCACCTGCACATGTGAAGCAGTAGTTAGAGTTCAAATTATCAAGAATCATGCTAAATATTTACTTAACAAGGCACAGCAAATGAAAAAGCTTTCAATAAAATCCTCCCCAACCTCCATTTACCTATCTTCCAGTCCAACAAGGCCTACAAATTTTCCTGAGCTCATGCAGCCAAAGGTAAAAAGGAACAAAAATAGAGCATCTATGGCTCTTGGAAACATTTGTCTGCAGTGTTTATTGCTGCATATAATAGATTTAACTATCATAAACCATGAAAGAGAACATAACTGGCAAAAGGCATGAGAGTATCAGTAATGTATGAATAGCAAAAAAGAGGTTAGAGCTAGGTATTTAGTAAGGAAAGATAAAGACAATACAGAAGGTTAAAAAAGAAGGGATAAAGCATGGTATAAAATGAGCATTGTATCAGGGAACAAATCTTACGACTGCTTTCAAAGAATCACTTCCTACATGCTGCTTTAGTTGGCATCTCAGCTGGTGATAGGAAGCTACCAAGTATAAAACTAGTTGCAGGTGGGAAGGTGGGAGATTTAAAGCACAAAACAAAGGTCTTAGGTGTGGTAAGCATAGTAGCTCAGGGTTCTCTATGATCCAAATCTCTCTCACGCTACGGACTACTACCCTCATGACTCATTTCATTCCTACAGGTGGCAGGTATTTGGCATGGCCTTTAAATGACTGTCATGTCTTACATACTAGTAATTAAAAAATAGAAGATTAAAGACAAATGTCTTGAATAGAAAACCCTGCTAAAAAGATTGTCTATACCTGCAAGCTAACGTCCCTATATTAAACTTTTGAAAAGCAATGAATGCATCCAAAAAAGCTTAAAAGCATTAAAAATCGTTTAATCTCTTACTATACCTTTCAGGCATATTCCTCTGAGCATCACCACTCTTACAAGAAGACCTGACAGCCGGCTCTTCAAAGGCGTACAGCCTCTTAAACTGTATTGATTTCAAAGGGAGCCAAATGCCTCAGTGCCTTCTGGGACTCTGGGAGTGAGCGTGCATTGGCTTGACTGGAAACTAGGGACCATCAGCAGGAGTACGCGCAGCACCTGGGAGGATGAAGATCATAGTCTGTAGGATCAGGTACCACATTCCTTCCTCATGAAGACACTGACAGAGCTGTTAGGACCCCTGCTACAATGCTTTGAGATGAGCCTGGAAGATGATGCTCTCATTAGACCATCTATCATGGGGCCCCTCACACTGGATCTGTGCAAGCTTGCTCCAATAGTTTTCATCCTTCTAGAGCCATCTATAAGTGGTTTTCTTCAGAAACATAGCAGGCTTTTTAATGCTGTGCTTCCAGAAGACCAAGATACGGATTCCTCGCAGAAAAAAAGAAAAAAAAGCTCTTTTTGCACATTATGCTACTATTGTACATTCTGCAGAGTTTACACAAAATTGGATTTTAAAGAAGACATAGGGCTGGCTATTCTTTTCTCTTAGTTACATGGTTGAAATTCAGGGAAATTTCACTTTCGTAAGATTTCAGTGGGAGAAAGTGTAGAATATAGACAGAATTGCTATAGGGCTGAAGAGAGAAACAAAACCAAACTTGATTATATTGCTGCATACATTTAATTGTTTACCAAAACAACTGGCAATTAGGAGGAAGAAATATTTCCTAAGTCTTGCTCAGGAAAGCAAATTTCAGTGTCACAAGTTACCTCTGCCAAAGTAACTTGGATAAAGGTACTGAAATGTTTGCAACCAGCTTGTAAAAACACCAAAAAAACTTCTGAACTAAAAAAAATCCTCCTGGAAATCAGGTATCCTGAGGAGCTAATTCCCCTCCCCTCCAAAGGACACCACAAAAGCTGTACTATGAAGTATGAAACACTTTGCAAGAAATTGGACATATTTATGTACAAATTGTTGATAACCAACAGCCGTATCTTTAACTGATGAAAACTGGTAGAATGCGATTGGCTTGTGTGGAACTGCACAAATTCACCAAAGGGCTTGCATACAGCCACATACTTAAGTATGGGACTGTCTTGAAAGTCCAACTGGTCAGTTAACTAAAAGCCAATGTAAGCAGGGTGTTACCGTATTTTAAAGAATCTGGACAAGCCAAGGATCTGGTCTCCTTTTTGTTCCTTTTTACTGACTACCATAATAATTTTAAGAAGATGGCTTATAAAAGCTTGCCATTTCCTTTACATTTTTAACAGCTATTTCTTCTGAACAAAACCCCACTCTTGGGAAAAAGAATTTCTTCCCCATAGAAAAGATGGGGTACTCCACACAAAGAAGCACCTAGCAGTTTAGTTCACATTTTTTAATAACATGGCACAATTTAACATTACACAAGTCTTCGCTGATGAGGAAACATGCTGAAGATTGAGAGCCGCTTCACTTTTCTTTTCACATAGGATCTAGAAAGGACTTTATTACATACAGGATAAACAGCAAAAAGGTTCGTATATAACAATCTCTTTACAATACTGAAAGCTACCACTACGGTTCCAGTGTACATATTCTTCAGGTTGGGTTTTTTTTGTATTTTTCCTCAACTTTCTGTAGTTAACTTTTTTTTTTTTTTTTTTTTTTTTTTGCCAAAACAGGATAACAACTTCAGATAGCACTTTAATACACTAGAAGACCAATGGAACTAATTTCATTTGAAACATATACTTTACAGTCCAGTAGACAAGATATTGAATTCTCTCTGATAAAGTCATATTCTCTCCAAATATTTAGACAAGAAACTTAACGTGTTATAAAAAAGTGTGTTATGAAAAGACAGATTCAGAAGCTTGATGCATATTTTTAAGAAGGACCGTGTTCTTCATGTTATTTCATGTCTTCTGTGATTAGGGAACAACAAGGCTGACCTGTTAACTATTCACAGACTTTATTACCAACTGAAATACAATAAATTGCATTATGAAATCTGCATCGGAGTTCATTAATTAAACTACTGATCCACAGTGAAAACATATCCATCATTTAGAAAAGTATTAGCTTTCTTGTAGGATTTGTTTCAACGTAGCTAAAAATCACTTAACAACACAAAAAGTGTGTGTACAGATAAAAACGACACACTGGCAATAAAACAGACATGAATGGCTATAAGCAGATGTTCTTCCAAAAATAAATTTGACATGTTAAGTGACAAAAGTTCTGGAAAATATCCAACATTTGATTATTACTCTGTTCAACCCAGCTTAATGTGACTGAAAACCAATCTGTCATGACTACAGTATCGGTGATTACAGATCGCTAACCCTGACGCGTTCTAAGCAGTACATGAGCTACAGGAACATCAGCATCTTGATGCAGGGGTTCAGACAGGAAACTACACTTCTAATGGGCTGTTTCTTCATCAAAACAAGCAAGAGAAATAGGTTTCTACTATAGATGAGCTTGTTCAGGGAAAATATGACTTTAATTATGTTGTGTGTTGAAAAGGCTCCTTTGAGTTATAAAGGCTTTTGTGAAAAGCCTTAAAATTCATTGCATAGTTGAAGGGGTTTAGCTGTCTATAACAATATATGTAACACAGCATAAGCAGACTGTGTTGATCAATATTAAGTTTGCAAATAGCACAGTTTAAGAAGTATTAATGTATTATGTTACTTAATTTCATCTATTTACATTTGTACAAAGTAAAGCTTTCATCTTACCCTTTTTGCATATATGAACCATTAACCCATGAAGCAATCTTTTTACATAAATATCTACAATTGTCTTCACTTCTGGTCTGAAAGAGCTTTGTATGGTTGACATTGGAGGTGGTTTGTTTCTCGTCAAATTGTTCAGATTAATGTCTTGTTCTTCAGTTCAAATTTTGACATTTTTAAACTAGAAATAAAATAGAGTAGGAGACACGAGGAACATATGGACTTGGCTAAAAGATCTGGAAAACTTCAACATATAATATACAAAAAAACCATTTCAAAATCTTTGCACTCAGGTCTATACATATTGTACAGTGGGTCACATCCCAGTCTGTATCAGTGACTAGTAAGAAGGTCTTTATATTATGTTCATTTACAACATTCTGTCCCTCTTTCTCTGGTTTTTATGGAGGCTCACTCTGCTTATCGAGCTTCAATGTCCTTGAGGGTGTGAGAAGGAGGCCTCTCTCTCATCTCTGTGGACAGAGGAGTAGTCCTTCTGGGAGACCCAGGCCGAGGTCCCAGAGTAGAAATAAGAGGCGGAGGGGCACTGAGAGCTGCTGTGGGGGGAGTTTTATTGAGGATGCCATTTTGGTGTCCCGTCGGGGGACTGACTCTGGGGTAGTGCATGCTAGGAAGTCCTGGAGTGATTAGGCTTGGGTGAGGCAGGTGCCCATCCAAGGCAGCAGGGTGAACTGAGTGCAGGCGTGCATGTTCATAGTCCTCTCTGAGCATGTGCAACCGCTCCCTGTCATCCAGGTGGTTGGCCCTCTCATGCTCACGTCGAGGGTCAACAGAGAGAGGGTGGTGGTGATGGTGGTGGTGATTGTAGTCGTGAGGTTCTCGATCCCTGAATGACCTGTCTGCTTCATATAATCTTGGTGTAGAAAGACGATGAAGGGGGTCATTTCTGAGCAAAAAGTCTCTGCCCAGGGGGTCTCTCCGATGAATATCTAGCTCTCTGTACGGATCTCTTAAAGGATCTCTCATTGGATCCCAGTGGAAAGAAGGATAGGGGAAACGTTCTCCACCAGGAATTGGGCTAATTCCCATAAAAGGGGTCATCATGCGAGTCCTATCCAGGCCACTGATGCTGTTCATGTGATGTATACCAGTTACACCTACAGTCATGGGCATAGACACTAAAGGACTTGGATGGACGTTAGATGTAGACATAGGTGGCGGCTGATCAGATGACCTATGAGTCTGAGGTCCCTCAGGTTGAACATCATGGTCTTCCTTTCGCTCCTCCTTCACTTTGACTTCATTGGTTTTCTTCGGATTATCGTATGCCGACTCGTTCTTCCTCTCGGCCTCACGGTTTGAAGTACTATTAGGCCTGGTGCTCTCCACAACCGGGGGCCTAGCATAGGGTGAAGGAACCCTGGGCATTTGCTTAGACTCTTCCACCACGCGGCTTTCATGGCTCAGGCCTTCTTTCTCCGAAATATAGTTGTCCTTCACCTTGTGTTCTTCAACATTAATTTCCTTCCGAGATTCGGAGTGATCCCTCTCTCGTTCTTTGGGTTTCTCTTTTTCTCGAACCTCGGGATTCAGATGGCTCCTGATCTGCTCATTTGAGCTGCGATTATGTCCGAGGGAGTTTACTGGATGGATAGGTGCTGGCGAAGGATGGCTGGAGTGTCTTTTCTCAATGCTCTCCCTAGAAGAAAGAGAAGTGTAAAAATGAAGGCATGAGAAACTACAAATAAAACTAAGCATCTACGGTGTCTGACTTTAAACTCGTTGCTTTGCAGAAAGCCAGTAACATGCACCATTAAACACACTGTTCCTTTTGCACAACCAAAACAGCAGAACATCATCCCATCTCTAAACTAGGCCTATTCTATTATCTCAACCCAGAAGAAGGTCCTCAAAACTGCTTTGTGAATGATTTGACTGAGATTTCAAACACTGAAGTCCATAGAAGGCTCACAAGGGAATCCAACTCTAGTACACTTACTTCTGAGACAACAGCCTTAATTGTTTGCAAAGAAGAGAGAGAAAAATAAAAAAACATACTAATTTAATCCAAAAAAAGTGAGGCAATTAAATCCAAGTTATACAGGTAACAGTATTTTACCTGCTGATTCCATTGAGAATACATTTGGGAAAACAGACGACATTTTGTTCAACTGACTTCTTAAAACATTTCTCTGTACGTTACTAATTTCTTATCTCTAGCCTCTTCAATCTTCTAGCTTTTCAATTTACTTCTCACAATTCAATTTACTTCTTACAGCTGAAAACAAAAACCTCTCAAGACACCAGCACTGATGGTGACAATCCACCCCTCTGAACAGGAAGGTACTTCTGTAAGTGTGCAATGTCCCGCAGTTCAAGTGTCTCCATAGAGGTGGCCATCATCCATAGATGATGGGTTGGGGCCAAGCTCTTTTCAGTAGTGCCCAGCGACAGGACAAGGGGCAACAGGCACAAACTGAAGCAGAGGAAGCTCCAGCTGAACCCGAGGAAGAACTTCTTCCCTCTGAGGGTGACGGAGCCCTGGCCCAGGCTGCCCAGGGAGGCTGTGGAGTCTCCTTATCTGGAGCGATTCCA